ACACATGGTTCTGACATATGTGAGCACCTCTTAAATAACAGAGGGTGTAGCTGCTAATTTTAGTGCTGATTGGTTCATTGTTCTGTTCCGGTCGCACTTGTTATTTCATCTCAAAGTGCTGGAGGCACTTTATATCGGGTCCCGCAAGCCTTCCCTGTGTAAACAGCGTGAGTGTTTGTTGGGACACGCTATTATTTGTCTCAAGCTCTTTGTGGTCAGTTTTTTTTTTCCCCTTCTTCTTCTCATTACACACTTTCTGTTGTTTTTTAATTTAAGTTAAATCTCCCTGTAGAGGCCTGAGGAGCAGGAGCGAAACCGGTTGCTTCGCTTTTAACATCTCTTTTTTAATATTTAGCTACACACTTTTATTTCTGTAATATATATATATATATATATATATATATATATATATATATATATATATATATATATATATATTTGGTTGATAGATGTGAGTTTATGTTAGCTCTATCTCTGATATTGAGCACTTTCTAATAAGTACCGCGCATATAATATATAAATAATTATACATATATATATTTATTTATATTTATATACACTTTTCACACACACACACACATATATATATATGTGTGTGTGTGTGTGTGTGTGTGTGTGTAAGTTTGTGTGTGTGTGTGAAAAGTGTTTATAAATAAAATAAATAAATATTAAAAATTATAGCAATCTCCAACTACCATAATTTTACACAGAATACCTATTATCAGGATTTATACCAAAATAAATTAATACATATAACAAAATAAAACAAAAATAAAATAAAATACCAACAACCACTTTTTAGTTCAAGCTACCACCACTATAACTACATTCATGGTTTTATCATTCTCCCACCACCGTTACTAATCATTTCTACCAATTTACAATTTCTACCAATTTACAATAACTATTAGCTATCATTGTCTCCAATCCCTTGAAACATTACTATCACATCATATCATATAGACCCGTTATTAAATTGAACTACCCTCTCACCCAGCACATTGAATATTAAACTAAACATCACCATATAAATTATCCAATAAGGATTACAATTTTCTACTTGTTACATATACACAGTCACCAAAAACAAACAAATAACCAACTTTAAATATAACATATAAACCCCCATTTTCCACCACACGCATATACATACATGCGAGGAAATATTTTTCAGCGGGAAAACACTTAGTATGACATGTATACAGTAACGAGACATTTCCGCCACACTTCCAATGTTTAAATTTCAACATTTCAACATACAAATGCGTATGTATAGATATAACACCACCCGTATACATACATGTGTCATAGCCGAAACTGCCCACATATGTTATATATGTATGAGTCCCGACGGACGACCAAGTATGTATATGTGTCTGCATACATCGATGTTTGCGTTAGTACGATGAATGACATAAGCGACGAAGTTTCCCCCACCACTTCCACAATAACAACAATACACGCAATCTACATAAACCCAAATTTAAAAAAAAATAATCAGTTTGTCTGACGATCGCTAAAGCGTGAAACCCAGGGTCACAAACTCACATCTATCCAACCAAATATATATATATATATATATATATATATATATAATGCATGTTTCATTAAATAATACAGACAAAATAAGCTTATAACATTATCATTGAAAGATGAAAGGAAATCACCATATTGATACATGTTTAAATCCTTTCTAAGCTTTCGGCTTACGTAAGCTATTATCAAAGATGACAATTACTTTTCAGTATATCAACCAATACACGGAAGAAACAAAATAAAATTTATTTACAAATATTTAAATATAAATTTTTTTAAAAATCGTAATATAAATATACTTGATATAGAAAAATAATTTTACTGACTGTAACTAACTCTATTTACTTCTATTAAGTGAAATATAGTCTATAAAAACTACTAATGAAAATATTTTAAAGTTGTAATTAAAATTGTAGTACATTAACATGAATTCTAACCTAAACTTCTTTTAAATTGTAATTAAATAAATAAATAAAGTTTACTCAATCAGGGAAATGAAAATTTTACTGTAGTAATATTTAAATATAAAATTTTAAAAATCGTAATATACTTGATGTGACAATAATTCTACAAACTTTAAAGGCTTCTAACTTCATTTAAATTGTTCTTGAAAGAATTATAGTAAAATAAAATTAAAAGAAAAAATATTTCAAATCGTAGTTAAATAAAGAGTATTCTTACCTACCCCCCACCAAATGAAATGAAATCTTTAAATATACGAAGAAAAAAATGCCGTAAGAATTTTAGCCGTTAACAATATAAATTTTAAAAAAAAATCCAGACGACACGCTTTTAAAGAATGTTAGATTTCACTGAAAAATACATCCCTACCCACTACCAAAAGTAACAATAACTGATACATTAAAATATAGACATATTGAACACCTAGACACCCCTGTCTAGAAAAATAGATTTATCTGTAACCTTGGAAACATGAATTTTGTTTTAGCTTTGTATTTAAAACCCAGTAATTTTAAAAGTGACTCCAAAATTCGCTTGAGGATGAAATGGAACTAATGTCTTTAATTTAATTACAAAATTAAATTCGGGGCTTTTAGCTTCCATTTTTGAAACATGGTTAAAACTGTGTAGCGAAAAAAAAACATATTTTAAATCAATTAATTTATAATATTAATGCTCTGTAAATTTACATCGAGCACTATTTTGTAAAAATAAAAATATCTATAAGAACACCGGATTATATATCTTACTTTTCTTTCTTTTTATTTATATATATATATATATATATATATATATATATATATATAAAAAAAAGAGGTTGTAGTGGTTCCAACGACAGAAAAGTGTGTATATTAAAAAGAAGAGAAGAGAGGTGCCGCAAATGTTTTTGGTTGTAATGTGGATTTTTTTTTTTTTAAATATTATGCTTTATTTTCCATAATTTTACTACACGTGTTTCTGGTCTCGCGACCGTCTTCAGTTAAAAGGTGGATTTCCACATATTATTAAAAATAATTAATTTTTTCCTTATGTTTTTCAATGTTAAATATTCTCGATATGAGACATTCTCTGTTTTTGTGTTAGTAATCCGAATGTCTTGATATATCAGTTTGCTCTTATCATTTTATTTATGTCTGAATGTTCGGTAGTAAATTTAAAGACAAAGTACGTAAAATTGAAGAAAACATGACAGAGAATATTTTCATAAATTTCTAAGATTACTAGGTAGCTAAAACATTATAGAAAATGTTATGTTCCTCAAGTAATTTTACAGATAAAAGGAGTTAAAATAGTAAATTACATTTACCGAACTGAATGATCGAGAAATTTCGTAGAAAATATGCGTTCTCCGACAGGAATCAAACCTGAATTCCTATTCGGGAAGCGTCATTTGATTTGACGTGCTATATACGGAAAAAAGGTTCTATTGTATTATTTAATTTGTTTTTGTTTAAAGTTTTCTGTTATAAATAAAACTACATTTGGAGTCTGTCTATATTTCTGAGATGAGGTATTATGTACAGTATTTACATTAGTCGGACTATTCTCCTCATCTTTGTCGCCATATTTGTCACAACGTTTCGGCCGTTGTACGCTCCGGCCTTCTTCAGGTGGTTGGAATTTCGAACTGAACCCTTTATTTCGATCACTGGGGTAGACTGTTCTAGTTCCACGTGCCATGTTTGATGGATGTCAGTTATCTCCTGCTAATTTTTTTTTTTTTTTTTTTTTTTTTTGAGAACTTTCAGAGGGAAATTAGCAGGAGATAACTGATAACTGACATCCATCAAACATGGCACGGAACTAGAACAGTCTACCCCAGTGATCGAAATAAAGGGTTCAGTTCGAAATTCAAACAACCTGAAGAAGGCCGGAGCGTACAACGGCCGAAACGTTGTGACAAATATGGCGACAAAGATGAGGACAATAGACCGACTAATGTAAATAAAACTACATTTATCAAAAAAAAAAAAAAAATTTCCGATAATGCGTAATGATTTCAAAAAGAGATACTTCTGTAAAAGAAGTAAATAGGTCAAAATTTATGCTTACGACACAGGATGTACCCTGCGGTGAATTACTTAACATTATGACAGTAACGGCAACAAGAAGTCCGTTTTTTCTTGTCAATAAATCCAAAATGGTAGTTTCTTCATAATTTAATTGTTAATTCAATCCACCATGTACATTTACACGGAATCATGACGATTTTGGAATATTTTAAGAGATATTCAGCGTTTGGGCGTTAAAAAACAAATTTACCATATATATATATATATATATATATATATATATATATATATATATATATATAGTGAAGGTAACAAATCCGTTGGTACATAATCCAAGTGGATCCTAATAATATAAAATATTAAAACTTATCCACAAAAAGAGCTCAATGTCTTTATTATTACAAAGCAAATTATATATATATATATATATAGAGAGAGAGAGAGGGAGGGAGAGAGAGAGGGAGAGAGAGGGAGGGAGGGAGAGGAGAGAGAGAGAGGAGGGAGAGGAGAGAGGGAGAGAGGGAGGGAGAGGAGGAGGGAGGGAGAGAGGGAGAGGAGGAGAGAGAGAGGAGAGAGGGAGGAGGAGGAGAGGGAGAGAGAGGGAGAGAGAGAGAGAGGGGCAGGATAGTGATTGACATATATACATCTATGTGTGTGTGTTTCTGTCTAATTTTAATTTCTATTTAAGTGTTTACACCTATTTCACTTCTTTTTTTTCTTCTCTTTTTCTTTCGTGTTTTCCATTTGAGGCACCATCAACTGTATCAGTCAGCCTCTCCCTCTCTTTCCTTCACTTTCTCTCCCTCCCTCTCAGCCTCTTTCTCTCTCTCTCTCTCTCTCCTTCCCTCTCTTTTTTCCCCTGTCTCTCTTTCTCACGCACGCACACACACACACTCTCTCTTTCTTTTTCGCTCTCTTTACATTTTCTTTCTCGAGGTAAGGCAAAATAGTAACAATGTTTTCGGCAATTTCCGGTAATTTTCGGCCACTTCAAAGGCGAAAGTTCCCAAGGGATTCAGGAGAAAAATCTGGGCGAACGAATAAACAACTTTGTTTTTCAGGCAACCGATTAAATGCCGGAAAACGATGAGAGAGAGAGAGATGGAGAGAGAGTGAAAGATAGAGAGAGAAACAAAGCGAGAGAGAGAGAGAGAGAAGTTTCGGTATGTAAGAAGAAGAATTGTGCAGGATAACATTTATACCCTTACGTCGCCTGAGGGTTGAAGTGAGGAACGGATGGGGGGGGGGGAGAGGAAGGGCTCCTTTCGAAATGAGGTCAAATAATTTGGAAAAAAATAAGAAAATTCAACATAAGGAGGACAGGGTTAAATTAGCTGACAAGGTAGAAATGGGCAGAATGGGATAGAAATTAATAGACTGAGATAGATAGATAGATAGATAGATAGATAGATAGATAGATAGATAGATAGATAATGAATAGAAAATGAGATGAGATAGATAGATAGATAGATAGATAGATAGATAGATAGATAGATAGATAGATAGATATAATGAAGAGACTGAGATAGATAGATAGATAGATAGATAGATAGATAGATAGATAGATAGATAGATAGATAGATAATGAAGAGACTGAGATAGATAGATAGATAGATAGATAGATAGATAGATAGATGAATAGAAGAGACTGAGATAGATAGATAGATAGATAGATAGATAGATAGATAGATAGATAGATATGATAGATAATGAAGATAGATAGATAGATAGATAGATAGATAGATAGATAGATAGATAGATAGATAGATAGATAAGAGAATGAGATAGATATATTGATACAAAGAGATTGAGATAGATAGATTGATAGATAAGGAGAATGAGATAAATATATTGATAAGACAGATTGATATGAAGAGGCTGTGACAGATAGATACAAAGAGATAAATAGAAATGAAAAGATATATATGAAGAGGATAGATAGATAGATAGATAGAAAGAGACAGAGGTAGAAAGATATATATGAAGAGGATAGATAGATAGATAGATAGATAGATAGATAGATAGATAGATAGATAGATTGGGGAAAATAAGTATTTCATCCCCTGCTGATTTTTTGCGTTTGCCACCTTACAAAAATTGGAGCTGTCTATAATTTCCAGGGTAGGTCTGTCTTGAAAATGAGAGATAAAATAAAAAAAAATTCCAGAAAATCACATATTAATTTTTGAACATTTATTTCTTTCTTATTTAAAAACATAAATATTTTACCCTCTACCAACCAGCAATGATTTAGCCCCCACAGACCGGTTATGTGACCAGGAGACATATAGACTAGTCCTATTACTCAATTATTACTCCTAATCAAGTACTCATTACCTGTATTAAAGACACTAGTTCACAGAATCATTCAATGACTCAGAATCTAATCTCTCCACAATCGGCAAGATGAAAGAATTATCTAAGGACCTCCAGGATAAAATTGTATACCAGCATAAGACTGGAATGGTCTACAAGATGATTGGCAAGCAACTAGTTGAGAAGGGGTCATGTGATGGTGCGATAATAAGAAAATAGATGAAACACTCTCAGTCTGGAGCTCCCAACCTGGAGTGAATCTGATGATGAGAAAGGTGAGGAACAACCCAGAACAATGCAGCAAAAGCTTGTTGATGATCTCAAGGCAACTGGGACCACAGTCACCAAGATGACCATTAGTATCACACTACGTCGTAGTGGACTGAAATCATTTAGTGCCCGCAAGGAACCCCTACTCAAGAAGTCACATGTCTAGACCCATCAGAAGTTTGCAAATGAGCACCTGGATGATTCAGAAGATGGTTGGAAGAAAGTACTGTGATCAGACGAGACTAAAATTGAGCTTTTTGGTATCAACTTGAGTCGCCGTGTTTGGAGGGGAAAAAAAGCTGACTTGGACCCCAAGAACACCATCACAATCATTAAGCATGGTGGTGGAAATGTGCTTTGCGGCTGTTTCTCTGCTAAGGGGACAGGACGACTACACCGGGTCGAGGGAAAGATGGATCAGGCCAGGCACAGGGTACTCTTGAGTAAAAACCTCCTCGCCTCAGCCAGGACACAGAAGATGGGTCGTCGATAGGTGTCCCAGAATGAAAATGGCCCAAAGCATACGGCTAAGGCAACAAAGGAGTGGCTCAAGAAGAAGCACATTAAGGTAATGGAGTGGCTTAGTCTCTGGACCTTAATCTTTTAGAGTATCTAGGGAGGGGGCTGAAGCTTTGAGTTGCCTCACGACTACCTACAACCGTAAGGATTTGGAGAAGATCTGCAAAGGGGAATGGGCCAAAATACCCCCCCCCCTGTAAAAACTTGGTAACCAAATACAGGGAAAGTCTGGATGCTGTGCTTGTCAACAAGGGTTTCTTCACCAAATACTGAGTTATGTTTTGCTATAGAGTAAAATATTTATTTTTTCAATAAAAAAAAATAAATGTTCAAAAATTAATACATTAATAATATAGAGAAATTTATATACTGAAAAAAAAGTTTGAACAAAGTAACTATAAACAATTTTTTTCTATCCTCTGCCAGCCGCAATGATGGAGAAAGCATTACCTCGAACCATCGCCAGTGAGAAACGCTGCAAGAGCCACTTCGTTTCGCGAGGCTCGTTCCTTAATCGAGACGCAATCGCGCAATCCTCCGAAGGAACGCCATCGAACGAGGGCCAATAACTCCAGAAGTCTCCACTGCCACAGGAGTAAAAAAAAATCTATCAGCAAGAGAAGAATATTTAACTAATTTTTTTTTTTTTTATCTCTGCGTCCCGGGCGACGGATCCCGGCTCAACCGCGGACCTGGTCAAATTACCGGCCGAAAATGTATCCGCACAGGTCGCATCCCAAGTCAACGACTTCCCCATTTTAAAAGGGAAAATGATAATGCCACCCGGCCGCTTTCCATCACCACGGGTTCGATTTGGGAAGGGAACCCAGCTGCATCCAAACCTTTTCTGATGATGTCGTTTATTGCTGCTTGCCTTGAAAAGCGGCCGGCACTACGACAAGAGGAGAGAGGATGAAAACCAAACTCATCAATGTAAGCTTCACATTTGCATCTGTAACGCTCACATAATTTGAGTCCAAGACGGATCCCGACTCCGACTCGAGTGCACTCATCATCTAGAAGGGTACCGGTAGATGAATAAGGCACTGCGTTGAGGTAGGTGCCAATACTCGGTTGTGAAGCAGATAGTAGACAGGCGAGGCGATGCTGATCCAGAGAGAGCCTCAAATTAGTAAAATTGGCCTTGCATTTTATTTTATCCCAGCTTTTTTGTTTTGATGTGTCTAGTGGGATAGAAAATAATTCTTAGGCCCAGACGCTGCAAGAAGAAAGAACTACCCGAGAAACATTGAGACGATCCACTGAGTATCTCATCAGTTAATTCGCGACTGGACGAAATTAAAGAAAGATATGCTGGAAGGGCCCTATCTAGCGCTGATCGAAGGCCCAGGCCTCCGAAACTCAAAGGGAACTTTGCCTGCCTTCAGCCTGTGTCGTCGAAATTAACGTTGCAAATTAGCTCCGCGCATCTCTTAATTGTGATATCTATCTCATTTAAGAAATCCTATTCAAGGTTGCAAGGGGCACATTAATAATATATGCATTAATATATTAATAATTAATATATACATTAGTAATTATATATATATTAATAATGTGATATTCAAGACAGACCTACCCTGAAAATTGTAGACCGTTTCTATTTTTGTAAGATGACAAACTCAGAAAACAACCCGGGGATGAAATACTTATTTTCCACTGTAGAGAGATAGACAGCTATGAACAACCCCCTCTTCATCAAGCACAACCTGTAACAAATGTCCCTGCAAGGTGATAAAAGCCACTAAGACGCGAGAGGTTGCAGAGGATGAAAGGCCTGTGAATATATATATATATATATATATATATATATATATATATATATATATATATATATATATAGTTTATGGAAAATATATATATAATACGTATGGGTAGACCGATATATATATATATATATATATATATATATAAATGGAAACATGCTTCAAAAAAATATATATATATATATATATATATATATATATATATATATATATATATATATATGAAGAAATATAGTTTTAAGGTGTGCTATATTTATAGGATAAAGTGCTCAGTATCAGAGATAGAGCGTGTGTAAATATAAAAGAACATTGAAGTCAACACCTAAAGGCAACAGGCTGTTCTATGCTAGACATAATCCTTGGGCCATATATATATATATATATATATATATATATATATATATCGAGAGAGAGTGAGAGATGGTGTGTACCTAATGTCTCGACACATAGGAAATTTCATTAGCTATATAATTTTTACCTTCACATATTAAACATGATTTTGTTGAAAGAAGAAAGGTTTGGCTTCTTTTCCTGGGGTCTGCTATAAGAGAAGGTGTACTCAATGAAACTCACAAATGCAACACAGTGAATGTGCTTAAATTGGCGGCAATGTGGAGTTACTGCATCGAGTTCACGTGAACCTTGCAAAATGCATCAAGCTTTGCATCACAACTGATGGAAATCATATGGAAGATCTTATTTGTTAACATTCCAATTCAATAAAATGCTGCTGAAAATTTCATTTCTAGAAAATATGCATTTTTGCCAATGTCCAATATACTTTAGGGACACCCTGTACACTTTTTCTTTTTCTTGTTCACTGATGGCACGCCCCTGTCAGGCTTTTTCAGTTCCTTCCTGATCTTTTACGGGAAGGACAGGGCCATGTTCAGGAAGGCGGATATACTAGAAGGTGTAATGATAGGGGAGCCCAGTGAGTTCCTTTTCAATACTTGTGTCACGTTGAAAATTGATACTATCGATACTTCTGACCGTATTTATGGCCTGGAAAATGTATGCTCCCAAATTCCTGACGGATTAATTCGATGCGAGCACACTTGGAAAAGGTGGTTGGAATGTCTAGTTCCACGTGCCACGTCTAATGCATGTTATCAGTTATCTCCTGTTAATTCACCTCTCCAGGTTCTCCACTACCTTAACCAGGTATTGAACTCACAACTCTTTGGGTCCTGTCACTGGATTTAACCAACGCCTTTATCTACTGTGCCATGTGTCCTTAAGGAACAGTCTACCCCAGCGAGCGAAATAAAGGGTTCAGTTCGACATTCCAATCACCTGAAGAAGGCCGGAGCGTACAACGGCCGAAACGTTGTGATAAATATGGCAACAAAGATTAGGAAAATAGTCCGAATAATGTAAATAGTGTATATAGATGCAATACGATTGCGTCTAGCATGGAACAGCCTGTCGCCTCTGAGTGGTGATTTCAATGTTCACTTTTATATTTATATTTACATACGCTCTATCTCTGATATTGACCACATTATCCCATAAATATAGCACACCTGAAAGCTATATTTTATATATATATATATATATATATATGTGTGTGTGTGTGTGTGTGTGTGTGTGTGTGTGTGTGTGTGTGTGTGTGTGTGTGTGTATATATATATATATATATATATATATATATAATGCTAAAATAAGCCAAACTCTGTATTTTTTCATTATTCATTGCTCCCTCTTTCGAAGATGACGAGACGTGTTACCGAAATTGTTAATAAGAATCCTGACCCTATTTTCTATCGTTGCTATCAAGGGACACAGTGGAGTAATGGATAACGATTCGGTTTGAGGAATCAGAGAGCCGAATTCGAATTCCAGTCGAATCCATTACATTCACTTGCATGTCTTGGGTACGGTATAAATCCTATTCTTCTCTGCTATGGGTGAAATACCAGGAACTGGTCTTCCACAGAAACCTGCTGCAACAAAAAATCTGTCGCGTCATTCATGTATCGAAAGACACATGATCGCTTAATGGCCCGTAACTGATTGAGTACTTCTACAGAGAGAATTATTTGTAAGAAACATATACTGTGTGGATTTCTTTTTTTGTTTCAATTTGACACAAACGATTGCCACGGGGAGATTACGCCAGTTTACAAGTAAGAAGTCTTTCTGTGCTGAGTTTCGCATCAAATAATAATAGTTGCCATAATAATTGT